ACACCCACCTACCTGGCCCCCCACTCACCCCCTGCTCGTCCAGCTTGAGGAGCTGCTCGGTGACCTTGGCCGGGGCTGCGGTCAAGGCCAGCCGCAGGCAGTGGATGTTCAGCTCGGGGACCACGTACTCCAGCGCGTCCTTCAGGGGCAGCCCCCGCCCCGTCCCGGGCTTGGTGGTGGTGGGGATGGCATCCTCCGGGATGGAGCCCCGCAGGGTGGCCAGCTGCACCCGTGGGAACAGGGGGAGGGAGGTGTGAGGTCACTGGGACCCCCAAACACTCCCCAGCCAAGATTGGGGGAGATCAAGTGCCCCGATGCCCAGATTTGGGGGAGTGAGAAATCCTGCCCCGTGCCACACTATACTGGGGGTGCTGGGAATACAAGGGGAGAGGAGAAGAAAGCGGCGCGGGACGGGAGAGTGACGGGGTCCAAGCTAGGTTTCCCCCGTTCCTCTCCCCCTCGCAGCCATCGAGGGCTCAGGACGTGGCGACCCTGAGGCCGTGCCCTGCACTCCCGTGCCCCACAGCCCTCGATGCCCCTTCCCCCCCAGCACGGGCCCAGCCCTCGGGTGGATCTGGCCGAACTCTCCACTCCCCCACACCACCACTGTTTCCCACGTGGGGGAAACGGCCGTCCTGGTGTCGGCGTTACACTGCCAGCCTGCTCGTTTCATGCTAGCACCCCTCATCCTTGTCTGGCGAGAGACGGCCAGGAATCAATCCCCTGGGACCGTCTCTTCGCCACTTCATATGTTATAAACCCTTGTCCTGTCCCCACTCCAGCGCCTCTCTCCGAACCCCACCAGGTCTGGCCTTGTTAGACTCCCCCACTGCACCAATCCCCCTCGCTGCCCTTCTCTGCACCTTCCTCAACTCTTCCCCATCTCCGGGGTGCAGACCTGAGCATCGCATCCAAGCCATGGACGCCCCGTGGACTCGCAAAGGGGAATTGCGATGTTTCCACGTTCACAACCCGCTCTTAATGATCTTCCCCCTCAGGCGCATCCGTTAACACTCATCTGTGCTGCATTTCATCAGCCACTGGAGTTGCCTGTTGGCTCCATCGTGCCAAAGGGGCATCCGGCAGTCCTAGGAGATTGTCCCCCTCAACTCGCTCCCCCCGGGAGGGTGCTGGGGGTCCTGGGGCCGAGCCTGGGGGCGCCAGAGTGGAGACTCACCTCGCTGGTCCGGAAGATGAGGCGGTACTGGTACTGCGGCCCGTGCTCCTTGTGATCCTCCAGCCGCTCCCGCCGGATGCTCACGGCCACGGGGCCCAGCTTTTCATCCACACCGAAGTAGTTGGAGTGCTCTGTAGGGGCGCAGAGCCGTCAGGGCAAGGGGCAAAGGGCACGGCACCACCTCCCCTCCGAATCGCTCTTTTCTCCCCTCCGGTCCTACAGCTTTGAAGCCCTGCGGCTCCAGGGCAGGCCCCCCCCCGCTCCGCCAGTACCTTTGCCGTGGAAGTAGTCGCGGTAATAGTGGGCGCCGAGGTCAACGTGCTCGATGCTGTAGCGCTGCAGCCGCCCCGGGTCGCGCTGCTGCTCCGGCGGCACCTCCGGCCCCCCCCCGCTCCGCCAGTACCTTTGCCGTGGAAGTAGTCGCGGTAATAGTGGGCGCCGAGGTCAACGTGCTCGATGCTGTAGCGCTGCAGCCGCCCCGGGTCGCGCTGCTGCTCCGGCGGCACCTCCAGCACCGAGACGCCGGCGTTGGTGCAGCGAGCGCTGAGCGGGGGCTCGGGGCCCTCCGGGCCCCCCGCCGCCGGCCCACCGCGGGCAAAG